AATTCACGGCGAGAACATTGAAGCCCTCGAAACAACAGTTGGGCAACTCGATGTGCTTGTCCATCCTTCCTTTTGGTCGAGTTTGTCCAAAAAATTCATCGTGAGCACAAACAAGTCTCGCCCATGCGCACACTGACCATATCCCGTCGATGACATTCATCAACACCGAAAGTGTCACCTTGCTAGTGACTTTTGTCTTATGCTTTTCCTTCGTCTCCTTCGCGTTGCGCTGACCTGTGATGTCGAGAGAGCAAAACAATGTCCTCAATCACAACGATGGACTCGCTCGAAGTGCTCATCAATAGCTCCTTCAGATCTATATTATCCTTCACCACCATCAACTCGGGATCATAAACATCGTGCTCGAGGAAATTAGCCATTGCAGCGATTGTGCTGGACTTGCCGGTCCCTGGTGGCCCGTATAGCAAGAAACTGCACTTCTGCGCCTTCCCCATCCTTCCATAGTGATATTTCTGTCGAGAAAACCTCTTATGATACTTTGAAGTTTACAAAACTATCTATTCTTCGTTATTATTTGACAAATGTAGATGTTACTTTATTTCGGACAATGTTGATATAAGGAACGCTTTATCGCCATTGATGGAATATGAAGTACAAAGTAAGAAGATTGACAAAACAATCGGTGACTCCGAAACAAGGACTGAGAAATTGCTAAGAAGATGGGATTGTGGGTAGTCCTTAACCGATGCTTTGGCCCCGGTCGAACCTTCTTCGGCCGGCGCACTGATCTTGTCCATGCAGAAGCATGATGCAACGAGTCCATTTAAATTGGTAAATCGTTCCAAGTGGGATACTAAACAAGGTCATAGTGATCATAAAGGATCTCGTGAAAGCATAAGTCAGATGAGGTGGCGACACATGGTCCTTTGAATTGGTAATACATGTTCCGACATTTTTCTCTCTTTGAATTGGTAATACATGACCCGGCCCCAATTGGTCAATGTAAGCCATTCCCTTTCACTTCACTCAATTTCTATTGCCCTTCTTTCTCGGTCATTGCTCTAGCTGCAGTTGCTTCTGCTTCTGCTTCTGCTGCTGCTTTTTTTTCTTCTTGTGATTTCTTCCTCGCGTCCTCTTTCGCCTTCTCGAGCGCTTCGATCAATCCCTCCAAGCAAGCCTCCTCGTCCCCGTCCTCGTCGTCCGACTTGGGCATCAAGTTCTCCGCCACGTCCGCCAGAGTCATCTCCGTCTCCTCCAGCAACCGCCTCACCGTCGCGAACAGCGGGTGCGACTCTTCGCCCAAGTAATTCCTCGCCAGCACCTTGAATGACTCGAAGCAGCAATACAACATCTCGATATGCTTGTCCATCATCTCCTGATTAGCGCTGGGTCGAGCTTCTCCAGGAAGTTCATCGTGAATACGATGATCCTCTCGCCCCCACACGCCGACCATAGCCTGTCGATGAAGTTCGGGAGCCCTGAGAGCATGACATTGTTGTCCTTGCTCTCTTCCTCGCCTTTCGCCATTCTCTTGACAGGATCTGCTTTCTCTTCATCGTCGTCTTTCTCTTGCTTCTTTGTCTTCCTCTGGCCAGTCAGGTCGAGGGAGCAGTCAATGTCCTCGATCACTATGATCGACCTCGTAGACGTCTCGATCAGCAGCTTCCTCAGCTCCGTGTTGTCCTTGACTGTCGTCAGCTCTAGGTCATACACATAGTAGTTGAGCAAGTTGGCCATCGCAGCAATCATCGTGGACTTGCCAGTCCCTGGTGGGCCGTAGAGAAGGTAGCCGCACTTCCACGCCTTGCCGATCCACGCATAGTACTCCTTCGCTTGCCTGAACTTGAGGAGGTCGTTCATGATCTGCCTCTTCTTGCTAGGCTCCATCGCCAGGGTGTTGAACGTCGCGGGGTGCTCGAACGCCACGTGGCTCCACTTGCTCTCCTGGTAGTAGTGCCAGTTTGAGCTCGGGTTGTTGGTGAAGAGCTTCCGCTGCCAGTTGTCGGCCACCACTGCCTTCCCCTTCTCCAGGACGTGCTTTATGTAAGAACCGGTGATCAAGTCCCGGTGGCTCCGGTGGAAGGTCTGCCTATAAAGCCTGGAGGCAAAAGCAATGACCCATTGATTTGGCCTGTCAGACCAGAGAAGATCGAGGGGAGGCAACGATTTCATTACTAGGGAAAAAGTACTTGTTTCACTAGATGAAGAAAGTAAATCTCTGATTAAATTAAACCGTGTTGACGATCATATACCCGGAAAGAGTTGAATTGCTAAAATAAACACGTTAACAATACATCCCCTAACCAAGCGTGGCAAGATAGATGTTGATAAATTATAATTAAAATACATGTGTGCGCGCACGTACCTTTTATCTTCAGGCGGAGGGTGCAAGGAAAATGTGGAGTTCCGGGAGACGACCAGGTTCGACGACCACCAGAGCTTGACCCCTTCGAATTCGTCGATGACCTCCTCGTTCTCGTCCAAGCTGAGGATGAGCGACTGGCTGTCCTTGGCGGACCCAGCCTTGAGCCGCTTGGCCCTAGCTGAAGCGCTCGCGCTCAGGTAGTTCTGGATCGCGGAGTAGGCCTCGCAACGCTCGAGCCGCTCGCCTGCGAACTCCGGGAACGTGATCTGGATGTATGGGTAGACGTGGCTGACGGCCTTGTGAGCATAGGCCTCGATGACACGGAGCTGGGGAGGGAAGTATTGCTTGAACACGGCCCACGCGAACATCAGCCCGGCCACCGCAGAGCCAAGGTGAGTCCACATTTCAAATGCAGTCATCACGGTTTCACTTCTTCTTCTTGTTCCCCTTCTCCTGCTCCTTCTCCTTCTTCTCCTTCTCCTTCTTCTCCTTCTTCTCCTTCTGCTTCTCCTGCTTCTTCTTCTACTTCTTCTCCTCTTCCTGCGTCTCCTTCTTCTCTTGCTTCTCCTCCTCCTCCTTCTTCTACTCCTTCTCCTCCTCCTCGTCCTCCTCCTCCTTCTTCTTCTTCTTCTTCAGGCTGAAGATGGAGAGGAAGTTCCAAAGTCCAACTCTGTTGGTTTTTGTTTCAAGACTTATACTTGTTGAGAAAACCTCCTAATATATTTTGAAGTTGACAAGACTGTCCGAGAGTTATTATAAATCTGACAAATACCTTTGAAGTTTTTCTAAATCCAGAAAGTCATTTTATGGAAGTCCAAACTTTACAAGGTTTAGAAGGAAAAGTCTAAGTTATACACGGCAATAAACAAAGTTCAAACTTTGTATATAGCAGTTGAAGAATTTCAGTTTATAATTGGAATCGAAAGGACAACTCACCATGACTTAAGTTCTGAAGGTGAGTCAAGAATCAAACTTTATCCAGACTTTGATACTAACTCAGAATGAATACAACGGCTAGTAATCTGGCTTAGATTTTTTATTCCATCTTAAAAGGCTATTTTGCAAGGAATATTAAAATTGCGAGATATCCTTAATTGATTGACAATCAACCCCACGACAAGTTTATTTCTAAATGGAGAAGCTCTAGTTGTATGGGCGACCAGAATCAGCGGGATTTAGATTTTGTCACTCAATAGCTACTCAATCTTTTTTATACAAATCTGTCTAAGATTAAGATTGGAAAATGATCCTCTAAAGACTGTCCAACAGCTAATTTGGAAGTAGAGGAGTATAAAAGGAGACAAATTGTCGAAGAGCAGAAGTAGAGAGACGAAATCCAAAATCATCCATTCCAAAGTCTGAGCAAACTCCGATTAGTGTTACTTGTCTTTCTTGAGTTAAAATTGGTGATCTCGAGAGACTTGTTGTAAGAGTGGTTGAGCAAGATAGAGTGATCCATCATTCACAGAAGAATATCAACTTGTAATCTCTTGATTGATCATCAAGTGAAATCTAGCTAGTAGGCTATCAACGTAAGAGAGTGAACGTAGGCTTGATCTAAGCTGAACTACTATATATCTCTGTGTAATTTTTCTCATCCCTAAAACTCTTTTTATTTAGTTAATTGCACATTTACTTATTTGCCATTCAAAGATTGTTCAAAATCCGAACATTAATTATTCAAACTTTATCCGTGATCAATTATTTTCGCTTTAAATTGGTCAAAAAGTACTAAAATTACCTATTCACTCCGTTCGAGATGATATTTGTTAGTCTCGTCAGTACGTACATAAAAGGATCAGGAAGCTACCTGCCCAGCACGTGAAACTTCACCCCCACCATTTCCTCGTCAGGTCAAAGATTGTTTTTGCCTTGCGGTCTGGTCCGGTAGCAACTTTAACGGACGATGTTCGATGTCACAGATAGAGCCCGAATGAATCACGGAAACCTTTTCTTCTTCGTCAGGTCAATGCAATTGTCGCCCATGCATTCGTCGCAGACTCGTCAATTTCTTGAAGTGAATTCTGCTACATCAAAGGTGACGCGTCCTTTAATGGTAGCCATATACTCTTCCTCGTTTGATAGGTGGAAAAATAGGAGGACGATATATAATAGCGACCCATGAAGTCCTCTCACGTTTATTACGAAATATTCGATTTAAGCTAGCAACTAAATAAGTTTTCCGCAACAGTTAGGAGCACTATCAATGGATCACGAGATTTGTTTTGCAAAATGATAAAAGAATGATTATTAGAGATCTAGAAATTTGGAGGTATCAAATTACATCAGCTTTTTAGAATTTAATTTTAGGCCGTTGTCCCTCCGACATTAGGTGTTGCATTTCTAAAACATGTATGTTCAAGAACACAAATCATAATAGGGATACAGTTCAACCATATTAGTATATCGAATGGGGCTAATGGTCGGATAATAGGTCTCGGTGTACTTTTTATGCCAATGGATAGAAATAATCGAAAGTATAAATCACATAATCACTTCACTTTACGTCAAGATTTTAGATCCACGAGATTTGGCGAGTATTTCGTAAGTCCAAAATTTAGCCGTCTACAATGGGTTTCCTCTCGATAGAGAAATATAATATAAAGTCCCTTACCATCAACATTTTTCAATTATTATCCGATTAAACCCTGAATAAAACATATAATCTTGTAAATTGCTCGAAACAATAGAAGCGTACAATTATTCTTTATATAGTAATAGAGAAAATTACGTCATCCATGAATCACAAGACACATTCTTCAATTTGGTCAGTGGACGCCATTCTCTTTCACTTCTTGAGAACATCCGCTCCCACCATTTTCTTGGTCTCCTTCACTCAATTTCTTTTGCCCTTCTTTCTCAGCCATTGCTCTAGCTGCAGTTGCTTCCGCTTCTGCTGCTGCTGCTTCTTCTTCTGATTTCTTCCTGGCGTCCTCTTTCGCGGTTTCCAGCGCTTCGATCAACCCCTCCAAGCAAGTCTCCTCGTTCTCGTCATCCGACTTGGGCATCAAGTTCTCCGCCACGTCCGCCGGGGAAATCTTCGTCTCCTCCAGCAACTGCCTCACCGTCGTGAAGAGCGGGTGCGACTCGACGCCCAAGTAATTCCTCGCGAGTACCTTGAATGCCGCGAAGCAGCAATACGACATCTCGATGTGCTTGTCCATCCTGCCTCTCCTGATTAGGGCGGGGTCGAGCTTGTCCACGAAGTTCGTCGTGAACACGATGATCCTCTCACCCCCGCAGGCCGACCACAGCCCGTCGATGAAGTTCAGGAGCCCCGAGAGGGTGACCTTGCTGTCGTTGCTCTCTTCCCTGCCTTTCGCCATTCTCTTGACAGGATCCGCTTTCTCTTCATCGTCGTCTTTCTCTTGCTTCTTCTTCTTCCTCTGGCCGGTCAGGTCGAGCGAGCAGTCGATGTCCTCGATTACTATGATCGCCTTTTCGGATGTCTCAATCAGTAGCTTCCTCAGCTCCGTGTTGTCCTTGACCGTCGTCAGCTCGAGGTCGTACACGTCGTAGTTGAGGAAGTTGGCTATCGCGGCAATCATCGTGGACTTGCCGGTCCCTGGCGGGCCATAGAGAAGGTAGCCACGCTTCCACGCCTTGCCGATCCGCTCATAGTACTCCTTCCCTCGCCGGAACTTGAGGAGGTCGTTCATGATCTCCCTCTTCTTGCTCGGCTCCATCGCCAGGGTGTCGAAGGTCGAGGGGTGATTGAATGCCACGTGGCTCCACTTGGTCGCCTTGTAGTAGTGCCAGTTCGAGCTCGGGTTGTTGGTGAAGAGCTTCCGCTGCCGGTTGTCAGCCGCCACCGCCTTTCCCTTCGCCAGGACATGCTTTATGTAAGGTCCAGTGATCAAGTCCCGGTGGCTCCGGTGGAAGGTCAGACTATAAAACCTGGTGGCAAAGGCAATGACCCGTGATGGATTTGGCTTGTCAGATCAGAGACAGGTCCAGTGTAGGCAAGAATTTCATCATTAGGAAAAAGAAACTCGTTCTACTAGATGTACAAAGTAAACATTTTCAGATCTTTGATCAAATGAAACGATGTTGACGAACATACATACCAGGACGTGATAATTGCTGAAATTAGTACGTCAACCATCAATACCATAACCAAACCTAGCGAGATAGGTGTTAATAAACTGGTAATTCCAACATATACATATTTTCATACGTACCGTCTTTCTATAGAAGAATTGTAAAAGGAAAACGTGGAGTTCTGGGAGGCTATCAGGCGCGACGACCATCGAAGCTTGACCCCTTCAAATTCGTCGACCACCTCCTCGCTCTCGTCCATGCTGAGGACCAGCGACTGGCTGTCCTTGACGGAGTCGGCCTTGAGCCGCCTGGCCCTGGCGGTGGCGCTCGCGGTCAGGTAGTTTTGGATCGCGGTGTAGGCCTCGCACCGCTCGAGCCGCTCACCGGCGAACTCCGGGAACTTGATGTGGATGTACGGGTATACGTAGCCCACGGCCTTGTGAGCATAGGCCTCGATGTGCCTGCGGAGCGGGGGAGGGAAGTATTGCTTGAACATGGCCCACGCGAACATCAACCCGGCCATGACCGAGCCAAGGTTGCTCCACATTTCTAATGCAGTCATCATGGTTTCACGTCTTCTTCTTCTTCTCTTTGTTTTTCTAGTGGACTGAAGATGGACAGGAAGTTCCAAAGCCGAGCTTGGTTGATTTTTCCTCCACTGGTATGCGCAGGCATGTGCCTTATATGGAGTGATCTGAAGCTACTTGCTCATTCATGTGAAACTTCCCCACCATTTCCTCGTCAAGTCAACGATTGCCCGGCGGCAGACTTTAGCGAAGCCCGTAGTCGCATTTAGTCCCCACGAGCGCTTTCAAACCAAAGATTCCGAGGACCACGCTGAGAAAGTGGGTAACATCTTCGTTTTGTGTTTGTGTCTATGGGGTTGCCAACGCCAACAACTCTGGTGGACCAGGCAGCTCAAGTGTTTCATACCCCACGATCGAAGTCGCACTTGTCCATTGCTGATGCGGAGAGCCTCTAGTTGTGTGACTAGAGACGACGTATTGTTTACTGCTTCGGGATTGATATTGCTGGAATATTGTGACCGGTCGCTGCTGGAGTTAATTTGATGTTACCTGGTTGAATTCAGGGGAAGATGTTGATCTTGGACAGCTTTAAGCAGTAAAACTGTTGCCCTTTCTTCTCAACAACAGGTCAATAGATGAAATTCAGAATAGGTCGACCAGTTGCTGGGATGAAACCATCGAACAATGACAAATTTAAGGACTGATATGTAGGTGGGCCAAGACGAAATCGCATGAACACGGATGATGTCATGCGTCCGATGTCATAGAAAGGTTGGCTGACGCGCGGGGGGGGGAGGAGCTACTTTTGTTGTTTACTTTCTAAATACGTACATATTTCGTACATAGCTGGTTGTATTTTGCACAAAAGCCACCACAAATCCTAAACCGTGCTTAATTTTTTTTCCATGACACCAAAAATCTCAAACTTGTACAAGTGTGACACATCTTCCCTCCGTCAAAATTCTATTAATGAGAAATGTTAAAAAAAAATCTGCCCACATAGACGCCAGAAAAGCAAACAATATTAACATGGTATGAAGTAAAAATAATGTTGTTTTTGATGAAAAATTATCTAACAGAACCTTGACGGGGGATAAATGTGTCATATCGGTACAAGTTTGAGGTTTTTTATATCACAAGAAAAAGTTTAGGGCAAATGTATCACGGTGAATATAGTTTGGGGATTTTGATGTCATAAAAAAAAATTCATGATAAATGTGTCGCAGCGGATAAAGTTTGAGGTTTTTTTGTGGCATTTTCCCCGAACTTAAAAGTTTAATATATTCTTTTCATTTTTAAAGTAAGCAAAAACACCTTTTTTATGCTAAAAACAATGAAAAGGGTTTTCTGATGAAAGTGATGGAGCATCCGAAAAAGCATGGCCCCGAAAGAAGCCGAACTCCTCACAATGGCATACATTTAATATTGCATGAAATTATAGGGACACTTGGCGGTTGTGTCTGATTCAGAGTAAATTCGGACAATCTCCTTCGGAGCCACTAGTCATAAGTTAGGAGTGCTATCAATGGATCATGCAATAGGTTTTGGAAAATGAAAAGGAATGATCATTACAAATCTAAAAATTAATGTGTATCGAAAATTTTAGTGACAATGCAAGAGAAAAAAATTTCAAAAGCAGTAGCCGTAAAATTTGGGAGTCGCGTTCTTTCTATTAACCAACAACAGAATATCAAAGGCACGCGCTACGTATAATTTGACGTGAGGGGAAATTGGATGATTACTTATGAAGTAGGTGGTTATGACTTATGAGCGACCTATTTAAATACTATTATATAACGAATAGGTAATTTTGGGAAATTTAAAAGCTGAGTCGAAATGGTGTTTTGACTTGAATATATTGTATCTGTTGGCTTGTAAGATTGCTTATGTGCAATAGCTTTGAGTTAGGACTCACTACTTGCGAAAGAAAACTTTTCCGAAGCATTTCTATTAGCACAGGATGTGTAGGATAACTTAGTTAATATGGTAATAATCTCTTTATACGAGTGTGACATTAACAATGTTTGTATTAAAAAAAGGGAAAAAACCACCAAAAACCCCAAACTTTACCATCTGTGACACATTTACCCCAAATTTTTTTTTCTGACACCAAAAACCCCAAACTTTGCTATTTGTGACACATTTACCCCAATATACTGTAGCCTAGGGTATTTTAGTCTTTTTCCCTTTTTCTATTTTTTTTCTGTTTTTTTTTTCTTTTTTCCGGCAAGGCTGCCCTCGCCGGCGAGGTCTCCGGCGACCTCGCCGGCGCAGGCGAGGGCTGCCCTCGCCCCGCCCAGGCGAGGGCTGCCCTCGCCGGCGTTGGGCGAGGGCAGCCCTCGCCTCGCCGGCGTCGGGCGAAGGACCCTCGCCCCGCCCAGGCGAGGGCTGCCCTCGCCGGCGTTGGGCGAGGGCAGCCCTCGCCTCGCCGGCGTCGGGCGAGGGACCCTCGCCCCGCCCAGGCGAGGTGAAGGCTGCCCTCGCCTGGGCGGGGCGAGGGCTGCCCGCCGGCGTCGGGCGAGGGCTTCCCTCGCCCCGCCCAGGCCCTCGCCTGGATCCGGTGAGGGCGACCCTCGCTCGACGCCGGCGAGGGTCGTCCTCGCCGGATCTGGCGAGGGCCGCCCTCGCTCGACGCCGGCGAGGGCCCCCTCGCCAAATCCGGCGAGGGCGGCCCTCGCCGGCGTCGGGCGAGGGTCGCCCTCGCCTGGGCGAGCGAGGGCAGCCCTCGCCGACGCCCTCGCCCCTCGCCCGGCGTCGGCGAGGGCTGCCCTCGCTCGCCTAGGCGAGGGCCGCCCTCGCCGGATCTGGAGAGGGGGCCTCGCCGGCGTCGAGCGAGGGCGGCCCTCGCCAGATCCGGCGAGGGCGACCCTCGCCGGCGTCGGGCGAGGGCGGCCCTCGCCAGATCCGGCGAGGGCGACCCTCGCCGGCGTCGAGCGAGGGCTGCCCTCGCCGGATCTGGCGAGGGCCGCCCTCGCTTGGGCGGGGCGAGGGAAGCCCTCGCCTGGGCGGGGCGAGGGTCCTTCGCCCGACGCCGGCGAGGCGAGAGCTGCCCTCGCCCAACGCCGGCGAGGGCAGCCCTCGCCTGCGCCGGAGACCTCGCCTGCGCCGGCGAGGTCGCCGGAGACCTCGCCGGCGAGGGCAGCCTTGAAAAAAAAAAAAGAAAAAAAAAATAGAAAAAAGGGAAAAAGACTAAAATACCCTAGGCTACAGTATATTGGGGTAAATGTGTCACAAATAGCAAAGTTTGGGGTTTTTGGTGTCACAAAAAAAAATTTGGGGTAAATGTGTCACAGAGGGCAAAGTTTGAGGTTTTTTCCCTTAAAAAAATTTCCCTTTGACACTAGAGCTGATAAAAGATGGGTTAATACCACGAAAAACCTCAAACTGGTACACCTGTGATAGATTTACCCAAAATAATTTTTTTAATCACAAAAAATCCCAAACTAGTACGCCTGTAACAATAACCTATTGGTCACTAGTTTCATGCCTAGTTGGCTCACTGATCGTAAAGAACGTTTATCTTTTTTCCAGTAAAAATTTATCATTGCGAAGTAATGCTAAGTTATTTTTAGAGACTGCCAAATTGTCAGGTTAGACTAAGGGCGCGAACAATAACCATTCTATTTGCAAAAGGAGCGGTCTAAATGAATACCGAATAGAAAATTAAAAGTGTTAAATATATATCATTTATAGGTAGAGTTTAGTGACATTAATGAAGTGTAACATTAAACTGTTGTTAGCTTTTCATCATTGTTATATTTCGATAGACTAACAACGAGCCTTTAATAATTCATAGAAACACAATATTTTGGCATGATATAAATAATTACTTCTTATAGCAGCTTGATTAAGTTTAACGATAGAATTTTAAGATATCAAAGCTATGTTTATTTTGTGAAAAAATGAATGATTTAGAAAACATTTTTCTAAAATGATCGCTTGAAATAATTAGTTGATAAAAAATATTATCATTGTGGATAACAATCTATGTCTAAATATATGATGCACGGTGAAACTACTTTCCATTCATTCATTTCTGTAATCAATACGAATAATCATTTTTTAGGAAAATATTTTTCAAATCATTCATTTTTCGCGAAATAAACGCACCCTACTATAAAAAAAAACGTTCTCTTTAAAATATTCAGAATACGTTCTTGAACCTAACGAATCGTGTAATTATTATGTTGATTATTCATAATAACTTCTATTGTGTTGTGTGTAGCGGGATTACTAGAATGGCCTGCTTTCTTGGAGTGCTAAGAAAATTGTCAGCAATTCAAGAAAACGTCGATTGTACTTGGCTATCATCAAATATTTTAAAATGATTTCAGTTCATAGATAACTGACATTATCTAACATCACATATACATTGTTTCTTCCATAATGTAAACCAATTATTTGTGCACACACTCCCCTTCCATAAAAGATCAATCACTACAAAAAAAACATGGATTTTGCCACGGAAATCTGCGACGGAAATTTTTCGTCGCTAAATTTACGACGAAATGTAAAATTCGTCGCAAATTTAATTAAAAAAAGAGCGCCCCAAAGCCCCGCCCTCACCCCCAATTTCTCTCTCTCTCTCGATCATATGAGATCTGCTTCCGCTTCTCCTTCTCCTTCTCGCTTCTGCTTCTTCCCTCTCCCCCACACCCCCAAACCTCTCGCACTCGCTAAGGGTTTTTGGTACCCCCTTCCCCCCGCGACTCCTCGGCCATGGCCTCCGGAGCCCTAGAGGCCGCGGAACCCAAAGGGGCGGCGGCTCCTCCCCCCGTCGAGGGCAAGGAGGTGGTGGTCGGCGGCGACGGATCGGAAGCAGAGGATCAACATCGACGACGTGCTCTCGGCCTCCGGTACGCGCGCGCGGTCTTCCACCAGATGCGCCGACCCAATTGCTTTTCTTGGAACTCCATCATTATGGCTCTTGCCGAGAGCGACGACGACACCACAAAGTTGGAAGCTCTGGCCCTGTTCCGCGAGATGGTCCGGAGTGGCCACGTGGAGCCCAACGGGTTCACGTTCCCTCCGGTGTTGAAGGCTTGTGCGAGGTTGGGGATGGTGAAGGAAGGGAGGCAGGTTCATGGGATGGTTGCTAAGTGTGGTCTGGATGGTGACGAGTTTGTTCTTAGTAACCTTGTCAGAATGTATGTGCTCTGCGGTGTCATGGAGGATGCTTACGTTTTGTTTGATGAGAGAATTGTTCAGAGTAGTGGAGTGGGGAAGAAGACGAATCTCAGGAGGCAAGAGGGGGACGTGGTTTTGTGGAATGTGATGGTCGATGGGTATGTTAGAATGGGGGATCTTAGAGCTGCTCGGGAGCTGTTCAATAAAATGCCTCAGAGAAGTGTTGTGTCGTGGAATGGGTGACTTTGGGTGTGTTTTTGAGATTGGCCCTGTTTTTAGGGCAGAAAACTCCTTCACACATAGGCATTTGTGTGAATTTACTGGCCTTGATGTTGAAATGGAGATTAAGAAGCACTATTGTGAGGTTAGATTGGATACTTTTTCATTTAACTGAATTTTCAGTTTAGCTTAACGAACTAAACGTTTATGTGCAGGTACTGGACATTGTGGACAAGTTGTTCGTTACAATGTTCGACTCATTGAATGCGAGTTGCAAGAAAGAACTTGAAGCTATTCGAAGACAATACCCCTTTGAACCTTTAAAGGTTATACTATGATTTTTTTTTTCTTTTTTGCAATCTGATTACATAAATAGTGCAACTCATGGGCAGTAACTTTTAATTGCAGTACTTGAGAAAGACCTTGTGGCTTACTTTTCAAGAAGATGTTCAAATGCACAAGGTGAGGAAAAAATTTTCGGCAGCTAAATAGCTGCCCATAAAAAAAAAGGGAACAAATAGAGTAGCAACATATCGGTTCATTGGCACTTCTATATCATGGCTGTAAAAGTAGGACAATGAGTTCTCTTGCTGATTTTTTGTTTGTTGCTTTTAAATGAAACTGATTGTTTGTGGTAGCACTCCTCTTACCTGATGATTTGTTCTGTTGGAAGAGGAACCGCAAGAAAGTGATATTTACAACTATATGCCGTGCACGTGTACATTGGGGGCTGATTTGTTCTTGGCTTTTGTTGCTTTAGCTTGATTTTGTTGTTTGATCTGATTCAGGGCTGATTTTGTTGGTTGTTTTGATATTCGCGAAAATGGAGGATCTCGTGGCTTTGTTTGAGCCCATTGCATTGTCTCCGTCGGAGTCTTCGATAATATTGCTACTCCTGGTTTTCTCATGTTTGCTTTAAGCTGGTTTGGTTTTGTTGTCTCTGTTTTTTCTCTCTTTTGACTGTTCTCCTTTCGGCTCTACTATAGCTCATAGCATCTGAATATATTTTACTCGTATTCTTGCAATGCAAAGGAAAAGAGGCAATAGATTCTAAGAAGCAAATGTGATTTGGTATGTTAACCTATATTGGCATATTGTATTGGGCTACATAGCTTAGCTGGGTCAAAGCTGATGTGATTGGTTCCATCTTTTTCCTCTCCTTGCTTTTAGTCGTGGGGCTTGGGTTTTTGAGGATGGGAATGAATGGGGCAATCAAGAGTCCAAAACCCCTCTTTTGTCTTCTGGTCTTGGGGGTTGCACCAGGTGTTATTTGCTTTTTTAGAAAATACCCTGTGGGAGAATTATGGCTTCATTCAAAATGATTGATTATTTGAATGCAGTGATACCTGCTTAGAATCATGCATTTGTGGAAAGTCATGTGTATTGTTCTTTGCACGTTGCGGGTGCTGGAAGCACTCCACTTCATTATGCTGCTTGTGGTGGAAGTGTGCAGTGTTGTCAGGTATTTTGTGGTAGCTAAAAGATAAATAGCATCCAATATCATTCTTTATTTTGTTCATGTCACTTACATAAATGTTTTTTTTGTGGTGGAAGTGTGCAGTTGTGGACAGTGAACCAATTTGGAACACGTACGTTGCACCTTTGTTTCTTTACTTCTATTAGATTTATCACTGAAAGTGAACTTCAACATTTTTCCTCTATATTTCATTTACCTTCGTTGCTTTACTTAATTAAGATTGCTTGCTTCACAGTCATTATGTATCCTTTAGAAGCTGAATATATTAACATTTAATGTGGACACAATGTCACTAATTCTGTGTCTAATTCCAGACAATTTGTGTTTTGTAGAAGAATAGCTTTGAGCTATTCTGCATAAGTTATGCAAATGAGAGGTTGCAACAACATTTCAACCGGCATTTGTTAAAACTGGAGCAAGAAGTGAGCATCTCACATGGACCGTGTCTTTAGTTTTGGTTAGTATTTTATATGATGGGGATTGTCGCTAAAAGCAGGATATTCTTTTTTGATTCAAATCTGTCGTCATTATTTATTGTGCAAGATTATTTATTCTCTCATTATGTGTACTATAAAAAAAATATTTATGTCAATTCTTGTGGAAAATGTAGATGAATGTATTTCATTTTCATATTATTATAATATTTTGATGTTATTAATTACTTAATCAATATTAAATATAAATTCCAAAAATTAATTTTGCTTTTAATTAGGTTTAAAATCAAAAAATAAAATAAATTATTTTATCGTACGATCACAAATTACAAAAGTTCGTTGCAAAAATAAAATTTCGTCGCTAATTTTGTCCCTAAACGATAATCGTCGCAGAGTTCGTCGCTAAAGAATTAATAAAAAATCGTCGCTAAATTCGATCATAAATAATGTTGATGGCAAATGTAAAAAAATTTAGTGGCAAATTAGCGACGAATTTTGCCATGAATAAGTTCGCTGCAAATTACTGACCAAAATTTTTTTTTGGCAAATTAGCGACGAATATGGTTCGCGGCAAATTAGCGACGAATTTTGTGACGAATAATTAGCGACCAAATTTGCGACGAATTTTGCGACTAAATTTGTGACGAAATTTGCGTCGATATTTGCGACGAATTTTGCGACTACATTTGCAACGGAATTTGCGACGAATTATTTGCAACGAATTTTGCGACGATTTTTGCGACGGATTTTGCGATGAAATTTGCGACGAATTTTGCTACGAATTATTTGCGACGAATTTTGCGACGGATAGTGTTCGTGGCTAATTTGCGACGAATTATTTACGACGAATTTTTTTTCCGTCGCAAAAATTTGCGACGACCTAGTAGCGACGGAATTTTTTCCGTCGCTAAATTCGTCGCAAAAATGATTTGCGACGGATTTTTGCGATTTTTTCGTCGCAAAATCCGTCGCAAAAAACATGTTTTTTTGTAGTGAATACACCAAGGACTACACTAAGATTTATTGGATTTGTTGCTAGAATATTGGTCAAACTACACCATTCTCTTTCACTTCTTTAGCACATCCACTCCCACCATTTTCATGCTCTCTCTCACTCAATTTCTGTAACCCTTCTTCCTCAGCTATCACTCTTGCTGCAGCTGCTTCTTCTTCTGATTTCTTCCGGGCGTCCTCTTTCGCCTTTTCGAGCGCTTTGATCAATCCCTCCAAGCAAGCCTCCTCGTTCTCGTCGTCCGACTTGAGCATCAAGTTCTCCGCCACGTCTGCCGGAGTCATCTCCGTCTCCTCCAGCAACAGCTTCACCCTCGTGAACAGCGGGTGCGACTCGATGCCCAAGTAATTCCTTGCGAGCACCTTGAATGACTCGAAGCAGCAATACGACATCTCGATGCGCTTGTCCATCCTCCCTCTCCTGATTAGGGCTGGGTCGAGCTTCTCAACGAAATTCGTCGTGAACACGATGATCTTTTCGTCCCCGCACGCTGACCACAGCCCGTCGATGAAGTTCAGGAGCCCTGAGAGCGTGACCTTGCTCTCTTCCCCGCCTTTCGCCATTTTCTTGACAGGATCTGCTTTCTCTTCATCATCGTCTTTCTCTTGCTTCTTCGTCTTCCTCTGGCCGGTCAGGTCGAGCGAGCAGTCGATGTCCTCTATCACTATGATCGACTTCTCGGACGTCTCGATCAGCAGCTTCCTCAGCTCCGTGTTGTCCTTGACCGTCGTCAGCTCTAGGTCGTACACGTCATAGTTGAGGAAGTTGGCCATAGCAGCAATCATCGTGGACTTGCCAGTCCCAGGCGGGCCATAGAGGAGGTAGCCACGCTTCCACGCCTTGCCGATCCGCTCATAGTACTCCTTCCCTCGCCGGAACTTGAGGAGGTCGTTCATGATCTGCCTCTTCTTGCTCGGCTCCATCGCCAGGGTGTCGAAGGTCGAGGGGTGCTTGAATGCCACGTGGCTCCACTTGCCCCCCTTGTAGTGGCCCCAGTTTGAGCTCGGGTTGTTCGTGAAGAGCTTCCGCTTCCGGTTTTCGGCAGCCACCACCTTCCCCTTTTCCAGGACGTGCTTTATGTAAGAGCCCATGATCAACTCCCGCTGGCTTCGGTGGAAGGTCAGCGTATAGAACCTGGTGGCAAAAGCAATGACCCATTGGTTTTGCTTGTTAGATCTGAGTCGGGTGAGCGTAGGCAAGAATTTCATCATCAGAGAAACAATGCTAATTTCGCTACATGAACAAAGTGAACGGATTTGTCAATCTTTGATTAGATTCAACCGTGTTGACGAGCATGTACCCGGAAGAGATGTGATCCCGACTTTCGATTTGCTGAAATTAACGTGTTAACAATAACCAAAGTGTAGCGAGACAGATGTTAATAAACTGGTAATTCCAACACACGCGCGCGCACAAGTTTGTGTACCTTCTATCTTCAGACGATGAGAACCAGGAAAACGTGGGCTTCTGGGAGACAATCAGGTTCGACGACCACCAGAGCTTGACCCCTTCAAATTCGTCGACGACCTCCTCGTTCTCGTCCATGCTGAGGACGAGTGACCGGCTGTCCTTAATGGACTCGGCCTTGAGCCGCCTGGCCCTGGCGGAGGCGCTCCCGCTAAGGTAGTTCTGGATCGCGGTGAAGACCTCGCACCGCTCGAGCCGCTCGCCTGCGAACTCCGGGAACTTGATGTGGATGTACGGGTAGATATGACCGACGGCCTTGTGAGCATAGGCCTCGATGTGCGTGCGGAGCTGGGAAGGGAAGTATTGCTTGAACATGGCCCATGCGAACACCAGCGCGGCCATGACCGAGCCGAGGTTACTCCACATTTCTGATGCGGTCGTCATGGTTTCGCTTCTTCTTCTTCTTTTCTCAGGGCTGAAGATGGAGAGGAAGTTCCAAGTGCAGCTTTGTTAATTTATGCTTCAATGTTAGGTGGAGGCTTGTACTCACATGGAGTGACCTTGCAGCTTTTTGCTCAGCACGTGAAAGTGGAGGTTCTTTTGCCTAACGGTCTGGTCTGGTCTGATGATAACTTTAACGGAAGCTATTCTATTTTATTTTGAGTTAATACCGCGAAAAATTCCAAACTCATACGCATATGACAATTTTACTCTAAATTAATTTTTTGACCACCAAAAATCCCAAACTGGTATACCAATGACAAATTTACCCACAGTTTATTTCCGTTAAATTTTACTGTCAAATTACTTTGTTAAATGACACGCGATAATTGACGGATATATCAATTTTATGTTTTACCCTCCGTTTATTACATACGTACCAATTTATGATTTTTTGTGGTATTAATTCAATTTAATGAAAATTAATGGAGGGTGAATTTATCACAAATGTACCAGTTCGGGGTTTTTGGTGGTCAAAAAATTAGTTTGGAGTAAATTTATCACAGGTGTACCAATTTGGGGTTTTTCATGGTCAAAAAAATAGTTTGGGATAAAATTGTCACAGGTGTACTAGTTTGGGGTTTTTCGTGGTATTAACCCTTTTATTTTATACAGAGCTCGAATCAATCACGGAACTTAATCTTCTTCCAGTTTCCGTACCAAAAACGGAACATTTTCGTTGGATCCATGCACTCTTCACAGGCTCACGCAGCTCGACTAAACAATTTCTTAAATCAAACTCTTCACTATCATAGGCGATCACATGCTTAGGCTGCGAATAATAACTATTATGTTTCTATTTTTCTATTATAGAAACGAGTTTGAAACAGAAATTCATTTGGTAACGCAATTTCATTTTTCTATTTCTGGAATAATTTTTTATTTCAGAAATAGATTTAGAACAGAAATGAGAAGTTAAAATTTTCTACTTTTCTATTTCTGGAACATAATTAAGAAGTTAAAATTCTTCTCATCGTTCGTCTACGCTACTAGCCGGTCGCCCACCCGCTACCTATCGCCGCCCACTTACCGGTCGTCACCTCCCTCCATTCGCCATCTCCCGCCGTTGTGGGCTGTCGGCCGCCGTCCATCGGCCACCATCTTCCATCGCTAGCCGCCCTCCTCCCGCCTCCCCCCGCCGGCCGCCAGCCACCATCTCCCGCCGTCGACCGCCCTCCTTCCCGTTGCCTCCTACCATTCGCCATCCGCCGTCCACCGGCCACCGTCTCCCGCCACTGACCGCCCTCCTCTCACCGCTGCCCTCCTCTTGTCGCCGGCCGCCTCCTGCCACCGTCCTCCACACTGGCCACGTCATCGTCCGCCGCCACCACCCCTCGCAGTCCGCCACTTGCCATTCGCTACCCCCGTCCGCTGCCTGCCATCCGCCTGCCGTCTACTCGCCGACCACCAAGAGGGAGAAATTTTGTGTCATTATCAAACAAATATTTGTTTCATAAACATAAATTTTGTATCATTATTAAACGTGTTTTTTTGCTCAAAAACTCGTCCAAGAACAGAAATAGAAAAGTCAATTTCTGATCAGAAATTAATTTTTGAAATAGAATGATTGTCATTCGCAGCCTTACTTGTTGGCCATGTAATCTTCTTCTTTTCATAGGTGAAAGGATGCATAACAAAGGATGCATAAGAACGATGAGCGCTAGCAACCCATTTTTAGCCTAATCATAAAGGGGTCCGTCCCACAACCGTCACGGACTATCTGATTTGAGCTAGGACCATATAATTTTCATTAATATGAATGTTCGGAAAAGCTGCTAAACTTTGTCCTTTTCTGTTGCGAAGAAAGGACAACAGTTTCTGCTTATACCTATCCAGACATCTTCTCCAAAACTCAATCAACCAATATCAAATTAACACCAATAGCATACAGTCACAATATTCCAGCATTATCAATCCCAAAATAGTAAATATAGTGCTGAAAGTTATAGTAAGAGAGAAACAACACCCACAAATTATCCGTGGAAAATTCAATGCGGGAAAAAACATGGGGCTGCTCAGAATTTTCCACTAATCACCAAGAATAACATGATATACAATAAGTTCATCTCTAATCACACACCTAAAGGCTCTTCACATAGGCAAAATGGCAATAAGAAAGATCTAACCGCTGCAAGAGAAAATTGAAATAAAATTTGGAGAATGATTTCATCGAACAAAATTGATCAAATTGTAGATCTTGGGCTCACAACCAACATATTGAAATTTCGGTCAATTTTGACAAAATTCGTCCAATATGGACAGACTCTTCTCCTCTTTGAAGGAATGTGCTCCGCCTCTTCCTCTTACCTACATTAAATTGCTCTTCTCTCTCTCTTTTTAGGGAAAATTATCTAAAAAGTTCTAAATCTGTTGCACTTTTGTAAATTCATTCCTAAACTTTCAATTTTACCAATTGAGTCCTAAAAATTTTTACGTTTTGCTAATCGAGTCCATTTGGCCAATTTTGGTAGGAGATCACTGACGTGGACGTTGGCCGTATGCCGTCCTACGTGGCACGGCCGTCGCTAACGTGAATATTTTTAATAATATTTTAATTTTTTTTTGAATTTTGAATTTATCTTTTTCTTTTTTTCTTTTTTCTTTTCGTTCCTTCCTTTTCTTTTTCCAAACCCTGGCTGGCGACCCTCACCCAGGCTGGGTGAGGGCATTGCGGCCCTTGCTTGTTGGCTGGCGAGGGGGTGTAGGCCATCGCCTGGTGTGAGCAAGGGCCGCGATCCTCTCGCCTATGGCCAGCGAGGTTTGGAAAAAAACAAAGAATAAAAGAAAAGAATAAAAAATTAAATTAAAATTTTATAAATATATTATTAAAAATTATCAACGTCAATGTCGGCCGTGTCACGTGGGTTGGTTAGTGTCCACGTCAGCAACATCCAGTTAAAGTTGATCCGATGGACTCAATTGACAAAATTAAAATGTTTATGACTCAATTAGTAAAAATGTAACATGTTTAGGACTTTTTGAAGAAATTTCTCTCATTTTTTTTTAATTGTGAACAATCAATCCTATTTTCTTTCTTTTCTTTATTTAAGAGGGAAAATCTCACGAAAAACCTCAAACTATGCCATTTGTGACAAATTTACACTGAATTTTTTTTCATGTATGCCACTTGTGATAAATTTACCTTGAATTTTTTTTCGTGACAAATTCAGGTGTTCCTCTCGTGGGGTTTTTCGCGTCACAAAAAAAATTCAAGGTAAATTTATCACAAGCGATATAATTTGAAATTTTTTGTGATATTTTTCCTATTTAAGACAGCATTTTCAACACACGCCTCCCATCGTTGCCTTTCCGTCTTTTCTTGCATTTTCAGACATCCAATCGACCCGGTGAAAGCAAGATTCGGAGGACAACACTGAGAAAGTGACGTTTTCTTTTTCTTTGTTTTGTTCTGTTTCCTTTCTTGGTTGCCAACTACTCCGCTGCACATGCATTCGAAGTCTTTCATTCCCACTCGTCTTGTGCATATAAGCCAACAGAAAGGGTTCAGATCATGACCACCATTTGATGGTGATAGAATCGGAAAATAACAAGAAATCAGAATCATTGATGCGAAAAGCTCCAATTCCATGCCAATCATCGTTCATCTCCAGCTCAGAGTTTGCAAATATTTTACGATAGAAGGCAAAGTCGAATTGAACACGCATCAAACTGCATAACGCAACACGTCTGATGATACGTCTGATTTCATAGTGTGACGTATATTATTATATATTTTATAAAATTTTCCGTTTTCAAATACGATTTTCATTTTCGAAGGACCTATAAAAACAAAGTAAAGAATCTCCCGAGGAAAGCGATAGAGCATCTGAAAAACAAGGTCCCTAAGAAGCCAAACTCCTTACAATGGCATGTGTGTAATTTCGCCCAATGATACTTTGATGGTTGCATCTAATTCATTGTAAATTCGGACAATCTCCTTTGGTGTACTAATCGTTTTCCTTTCTCGATTAGGTCCGCTCTCATATTCATAAGCTACGTGTACTACCCATCGATCACGCGATGGGGCTCGGCTGCACGATGGTCGCGGGGCCCTCGCCTATGGTCAACGAGGGTCACTAGCCCTCATCGAGGCCCCGGCTATTCTCGCCTACCCTTTCCAATGATGGTGGGGCTACAAAGATGAGGGCTTGTCAGGTGTTTTTTTATTTCTTTTTTATGTTCTTTTAAGAAAGAAAAAACAAGAGGAGAAAAATTAGCCTTTTATTTTTTCAATTTAATATAATTAGGATATTGGTTTAAAAATCAAGATCTGAATCAAAATGATGTCGTTTTAGTTATTTGTTTCATATTTTAGCAAGGTCAATATTGCATAGGAGAGAGAAAATAAAAAAAAATAACGTTTTATTTGCACTAATTTAATAAGTTTTAGGTCTCATTTTTTTGGATCCGTGTTGTTGCCGACTACTCCGCTGGACGTGCGCTTGAAGTTCTTCATTCCCCCGGTATCGAATTCGCACTTGTCTATCCACATAAGCCCAAAAGAAAAAGTTTGAGATTATGACGACCATTTGATGCGTGATCGAATCGGCAAATAATGACAGAATCAGAATGATTGATGCGACAAAGCTCCACTTCACTGCTAAACTTCGTTCATGTCCAGCTCAGAGTTCGCAGATCTTTTGGGATCCAAGGCAAACTCGAATCGAACACGGCTCGAATTGCATGACGTGATGTGGCTGATGTCACGCAAAGGTACCCTCGCTTAGGGCCTTTTCCTCGGTGAACATGACGACGTCCCGGGATAAGTACGGTAAGAGTGCCGTAACTTTCGCACAGCGCTTACTTGAATATCATAACTTTATTTTTTCTCACTTGAGTGTCACATTGGTGTGAAATCAATCATTTGAGTGTCATTACCGACAAATCATCTTACGTGAATTTTTTATCTTTTTATTTTTTATTTTTTCCTTTTTTTAGGGCCAGCGTCGGCGCTGAAATAAAGGAAAAGAAATAAATAATAATTAAAAATTAATAAAAGTATTTTAAAAATTATCCACGTTAGTGCCGGTGAAACCAATAAGATAACTAGCATCTAGGTTGGATTTTCCGACGAAGAAAATTGCTGATAACACTCAAGTGAT